AGCGCGGCCGGTGGGCCCTTGGCGGCGGGGTAGAGGCGCTACGGCTGGACGTTACTGCGGGCCTCCCGCTCCGGGCCGCGTCACCTTGTCTCCCATCATTAATTTGCCGTATGTTTGCGGCCCTTTGAAGGAAGGGACACTGTGCTGGCCGACTGACGCCGGACAGCTGAACACCGTCTGCTTACCAGGGACGGCCTCTGCACCCCTCGCTTCAAGGGAAAGCTTGAACGTATGCACGCTGGCGCACAACACTTAGTCGGACAAACTCGAGTCATTTTCTCTTAAGTTTGTGCCTTTAAAGCTAGCCTTGAGCAGGAAACAAGGAAATAGTAGTTAAAGAATCAAAAGTTGGCTGTGGAAAAACTATATTGAATGAACTGGGAAATGTGAGACTGAAGAAGCAGCTTATTGCTCAAAAGATACAGGAAAATATACCTATATTAGTAAAGAAAAATGCACAAATCAACAGCCTGCAAAGTCATGAATTAACAAAATCAGCTGTATATAACTTAGAAATAATGTCACCTGAAGGCAATTGATGGCACTGGGCCAACAAGGGTACCACTATATAGGTTCAAATTAAAGGCAGTATGAAATGCACCCACAGGACTGTGCAAATCACAAGATAAATGACACGCGTTGCCCTGAAAGACAGGTGAAAAGGGGCTGATACGGCAGACTACCAAGAAGGTAACACAACACAGCATTTTCTTCCAAGGCACCTCTGTGACAAGGAACGGCAGCTTTCCTGCCAGTCAGGTCCAAACAAGTCCTGAAGAAGAAGGACTCTCCTCCAACCAGGATGGGAAAACAGCACTGTCAGGGCACAAGGAAGCGGAGCAGAACCAGGAGTGCTGAGGGGAAACTCAAGTGCTTTGTCAGTTCCCCGGGGAAGGTGAGTTGAGTAGAAAGAAGCTGAAGCCAGTTCTGGTTTGGCTGCTGCTCAGATGTGCTGAAGGATTCTGGGCCAAGTCCCAGAAGTTTTGACTGTGTCTCTAATTACTTCTGACAGCAATATAAAAGCTACCTGAGATACGCTGTTTCAGAGGGCATCATCTCATCACTCTGATGAGACTATCCACATCTTTTGAATCCTGTGCCAAATATAAGGAACATAAGTTTCTAAGGGTAATGATGAGAGCTGTAAGAAGTAATTAATAAAAAAATCTTTTCCCCTTGCAGAGTGGCAACCTTGCTCCACAAGTTACAGAGGATTTAAAAAAGAAACATAATTGAGTTTCAGGAGCTAATGAGTTAACACGTTTGGCAGCAGATATTTTTGTTGCAACTGGCTGTCCTTGCACAAACCACTTTAAGGAGAATATATTGGTGAAAAGCCATAAAGGTTATTTACACAGATGGAGTTTCATCATCTCCCACTCCAAAACAGGCTGAGTCGGTTATGCTGATCTAATGGCTTCTTTATCATGGTTTGTGTGAGGCTAGGAGCACATGTTAGATTATGTTTTGCTCTTTTAGTATGTTGATGGTAGTCCCGGGAGATACTAGTTTAAATTATGCAGCATGTGCAGTATTTTAAAACCAGATTCAGAGATCTAATATTCAAACAAAACCAAAATATTGCTTGTACTATGAGCTTTGTTATGCCCCAAGTTCTGCAGGAAACAGCACCCAACATTTTTAGGAATATGCCTTGAAAAATAATCCAAGGATATCTTAAGTTTTCCTTTTCAACAAGTAGAAGAGAACAACTGTCAGGTTTGCTTGCAGGGGCTAATTTTCCCTTTCTTTGAGAACCATTCTCAGTCCCTTCCTGGTATGGAAAAGGTGATTTGGTCCCTCCTGACCTCTATCAGAAACAGCGCCGGCCAGCAGGGACAGGGAAGTGATCTTGCCCCTGTACTCAGCACTGGTGAGGCCACACCTTGTGTTCAGTGTTCAGTTTTGGGCCCCTCACTACAAAAAGGACATTGAATTACTCGAGTGTGTCCAGAGAAGGGCAACGAAGCTGGTGCAATGTCTGGAGCACAGGTCGTATGAGGAGCAGCTGAGGGAACTGGGGGTGTTCAGTCTGGAGAAGAGGAGGCTGAGGGGAGACCTCATCGCCCTCTACAGCTGCCTGAAAGGAGGTTGCAGAGAGCTGGGGATGAGCCTCTTGAGCCTACTAGTAAGTAGCAGTACAAGAGGGAATGGCCTCAAATTGCACGGGTGAAGGTTTACAGTAGATATTAGGAAGCATTTCTTTACAGAACGGGTTGTTAGGTGTTGGAATGGGCTGCCCAGGAAGGTGGTGGAGTCCCCATCCCTGCAGGTGTTTAAGAGTGGGGTAGACATAGCGCTGAGGGATATGGTGTAGTTGGGAACTGTCAGTGCTAGGTTAACGGTTGGACTAGATGATCTTCAAGGTCCTTTGCAACCTAGTTGATTTTGTGTTTGAGTTTGGCATGAGGTTAGTTCAGTAGTTTGAATTCACTGTTCTGTTCAGGATAGAAACTAAGATACTTTTTTGAAAGTTAGCCTAAATCTCAAAGAATGTCTACAAGAGCTTTTCGGTTTTGTTTGGCAAGCAATTTGAAATCCAGAATAGCATCACTTTCTGTGGTTAAAACACATCCACTCTTGCAACATGGCCTGCATTTGAACTGAAATCAAGTACACATCTTTTACTGATATGACACAACCTCTGTGTAATGCAAGATGGGATATAATCTTGAAGACAACCTCATCAAAGCAGCTGATACCGGATCTGTGCAGAATTATTATTTTACAGAATTGCTTGCTCTAGCTGGCATTTTCTTCAAATGAAAGAGAAACATTGGGCTTTGGTAGATACTGACTACTTTCAAGTTTATTATTCCTTTTATTTCAGTTTAAACCAGGCAGATGTTCTTTTTAAAGTTCAGAGAATTCCTGTCTGAGTCGAAAGAGAAACGGTGATTTTTGCTACCAAAATCCGTACGTTTCCATAGCCTGACATTCTAGGCAAGGATGATCCATTTGGCATGATGATACCGTTTTGAAAATGAAGCCATTCTCTTAGTGATGTTTAAGAAAATGAATCCCTACCATGCAAACCTGGCACCAAACAGTCATTTCCACCTGGGGAAAGTTTTAAACAATGACACCTTACTAAGTGTTTTCTACAGCTGTCACTCTGTCAGTATTGTAATCCAGGCTGAGGAACAAGCCAGCCTGAACTTAAAACCAGTTTCCCTATTGTGCTGATCCCTGCTCTGACATAGGACACCTGCAGCTTGAGCAGGCCACCTGGCCTCTTCCCTTTCACTACCTGCAAACAGTGATTATATACAGACTGCAAAGCCTCAGCTTGGCTCCCAGCCTGCAGAAGGCCCGTGGAATAGCATCCCCGTCACCACCCGGAGTATCGACAAGCTCCACTTTACATACAGCCTTCTGCCAGGCCTGAGCGACCGAAGCCCGGACACTGCCGGCGGCGAGGCGGGGGCAGGTGCGGGCAGGCCCGGCGGGGCACTCGAGGTGGTGCTGCCGCTGCGGGGGCAAGCGCCGGCGGCTCCGGGTACCCGCCACACAGAAGCCTCAGAGAACACCCCCACGGCAAAGCTCAGCTGCCGCCTGAGAGGAAACCCCGCCCCGCCCG